GCTTTCTTACAAACAAACAAACAAAAAATCACTAGTCATTTTCTTCAAACCTCTCCCCTACTATTTCATGCTTTCCTCCAACTTCTCCCTTCTTAGATTAGGCAGCTGACCTCTTCAACTATGACTAAGTCTTCAACACAGCCGTCTGCATAAAGCTTTCCAGCACATGGTGTTTACATTTAGAAATAGAAATTATTTTCTTGCATTGTAAGTCAACAATAACTATCCAAGTCCCTGGGGCAAAGACATCAAAAGAAAAGCAAAAGTCCATAATATGTTATATTCACTCTGTCATAGGCAGCATTTACCAGTAGGCTGCATAGATCAGACTCTCGGTTCTTCTCCAAGAGGTACCAAGCCTTTAAGCCACGGAAGCCCAAGATGCCCTCAGAGCTGGTCACGCCAAGCCACAAAGCCAGGCCACTGCCTCCTTCTGCAGCATGCTCTGATGGAAACATGCAGGTGCTGCCAGGGACCAGCAGGGAAGCAAGGACAGTGTCTATCTAAGTGAGTATCTTCCTTATCTAAATAAGGAAGGAAAGACATGAAGCCATTCCTTTGCCTGTCCCTAGCAATTTGGGGAGCAAGGAAGGAGAGAAAATATTCTCACTCCCTCCCTCAGGGAAGTGTAACCAGTCCCTGGGAGAAGAGTTGAGCGTGCAGGCTCTGTTCGGTCGGAGAAGAGTTGAGCGTGCAGGCTCTGTTCAGTCCTGCAGAAAGAGTTACCTTCATCACGGGCACCATCGGCTTTCCTACAAAATTGTGTCAGGGAAGAACTTGCCCATTTTAGCTTATTGATAACCTCACCTTATGTCCTGCTCCAATAACCATGCCGTGCTGCCACCGGTCATTGCATTTGTTAAATCTAAGAGGATGTAAGCCCTGAAGAACATGAACGTTGTCTGCTTACCAAACATCAAGCAGCCTGCGGGCAGGATCCATGCAAAATGCTTTTCCCGCAGTGTCCAGCCTGGGCAAGAAGGGGTGATGCTCTGTCCCCAGTGAAACCCGGCAGCGGGTGACAAGGTAAGCTGGTGACATTGCTTGCATCAGGTAACTTATGCCAGTAAAAGGTCTGGCTTCACACAGTGGACAGCCGTGAAAAAACCCCACAATTTAATGGGAAGTTATTTGTCATGCTAATGGTCTTACTAAATGACACCACTATAGAACCGTAAGCAAGAGACTGGTAATGAGCAAGTCAATGTTATCATTTGCTCTCATTTTGCAATGAGCTGGCTCAGGACCAGCTCTTCATTTTTTATTGTAAAGGAGAACAGATTAAAGAGATGTATAAGGAAATCAAAGTAATTAGGCATATAAACAAGCTGGCAGGTAAACAATTGTGATTCAGTGAGGCAACTGTCAACCTCTAAAGGAAGGGTGGTACACATTTGTATTATTATTTTATTTTCAGTCTTATTTTATCTCATTTTAGATTGCTCCCAACATGATCGTTAGCATCCTTACAAAGCACGAGACTGAGCTGAGTATGTGTTCAGCTCCTGCACTGCAGGGTTTGCTTTACCCCACCCTGAGGACACACGTTGGAAGAGGCTCCCGGTGACAGTTGCGCACAGCTCCCATCGCAGCACTGAGAATTTGGCCACACTGAAGGTGGCCAGCCCTCTCCGTGGGTAAGAGTATGAGTTCATCCACTGCAGAAATACGATTAGACAGCACGTTTAGACTATGGCTTTTCTCCCAACTTTCCCAAAGTTTGGGACTTCAAACTCCTGGGAGGAATCCCTCCCCAGGGATGATCTCAACATGCAACCCAGGTTAGCATAGGCTCGTGAGTCAGCAGCTGGATTTAGGATCTGATTCAGCCCATTTAACCTTCAGCATTTAATGAAGCACTCGGTTTAGTTTTCACTAGTGCCCCATGTAATCAGCACAGAGTGATCAGCACCTCTGTGGTGAATGATCTCAGGTCTCGTAGTCTCTCTTGTGAAGAAGTGGGACAGTACAGTAATTCTGAATGCTAGTTCATAACTGTATATTCATTTGAAGTGACTCATTCATTTTAAAGTCAGCACTGCCTAAAAATTATTTCCAACTCCCCAAAACACGGACTGCTACCATTTTTTTAAACTAATTCAGCTTAATACACCATTCAGAAACCCACACTGTTGCTTTGCGACTAAGACTAGTTATTCTCCCAAATGTTACAGTACCCTGACTCCACATCTGCCGAAGATATGATGCAGTCTCTGATTTTCTGCTGTAGCCTACCATGATTAATTTTAGTCTATGCAAGTGGGCAGCAGAACGAAGGGAGAAGCCAGAATCTGTATCCAGCTACGGAAGATTAGCAGTACCTAAACACAATAATGACTCAGCAGGCAATATATGAAACAAGTAAACATTAGAAATGGCACATCCCAAGTAGTGCACGTAGCATATCCCAAACTGTGGAGCTAGCAGATAGGGTATTCTGTACTAAGGATTAATGTGCCAGAGGGAACCCCTGTTTAACTCTGGTTTTGGTTGAGGATTTTATTAGTGTATGATCAGTTCTGTGCGTACAAATGCACTCCTTAAAGCTGTCATCCATCTGCATAAGCACATGGGCAACTTTAATACATGGATGCATAGATACAATAAATACATTTTTTTCCTAATGATTTTTCCATATGAAAAATCAAACCCTAAAGGAGCACGCAGGCAGCAGAATGGATGGAGTATGCAGGCAGTGGCTGTGCCTGAAAAGATATATGGATATGTGTGTTTGTATGAATTCCTATCTGCATTAATTCATGCCCACAAAACCTTATGCGCTATATAAGCCTAGAAGAGCAGATCTGAAAAAAACATTTTGTACCTTATATCCATTATGTACTTTTGCTGTCAACTCACATGCTGAGATCGTTGCAATAACTGGGAAACCTATGATGACATAAAAGTCCTCAATATAATCTATTATCAATTTGTAGCTAATATAATTTTAAAAAGAAACATTTATAGAAATAAATTTTGTAATAAAAAAATAATTTTGATAAAAATGGATATTTTGGGAATTTGTTTCATAGAATCAGAGTTTTTTAAAAAACCACAAATACTGAAATTCCCTTTAAACCAAATTTCAGGTTTTGACAAGCTCAGCTGTAAAGAATGGGACAACTACCAATCTTTGAAACTTTTAACACTTTAGGTATAAGAGAAAAGAGGTTGTTGAAGACTGAATGTATACCAGACCATTTTTTTTTCTAGAAAAGAAAGTAAGAATTTTTTTCATCTGTGACCCAATTCATGTCTGTCTATGTGACAACTACAAACTTTAAATGCAAGCTCTTCAGCATGGGCTGGATCTTACGTCTGTAAAGCATCTAACACACTTTGGTGTGCTAAGTAAATGAATAAAAGAATACCCCCAAAAATGCAAATTATTATTTGCTGTATATTCATAAACTTCTCAGAAATCTAATAGGCTTTTCAAGTACTCAAAAATACTTTCTTAAAATACCTGTTGTTCTTTGCTAGGAGCAGCTAACATAATTAAAGTATCCACTTTAAGATAGTTTCTTTCATTTTAGCCTAAGAGCAATACATTCCCTTCTTGAGACTCATGTTTCCACAAGGCACCTCCCTGGAACAACCTCAAAATCCTGCAAAAAACCCACTCCCTTTGACGGGAAGAGACAGATGGAAAAAAAACCCCAAACTTAATGGCTTTCAGAAGAAAGGCAGACGCATTATAGACATTAAACCAGTCACTACATCAAGACCATAGTCAAAGTATCCAAATTTTGGAGTCTGATCTGGTGGTGTAAAAGGGTTGAGCACGTATGAGCAGCCAACGAGCTCTGTACTCTTCAGAGTTGCATGAGTTTAGGACTGGTGAGTATTGGCCAGATTTCCTCTTGAGGTCTCCTGCTGTGGTACAACTAGAGCTGAAAAAGTTCAAGCTGAAGAAGGCAGAATTCAGTCCTCAGTACTTCTAAATATAGCTCAGAATTTAAGACATTTCTTGACTTTTGATGACTTTTGCATTTGTCAGCTTAATAGGCTGAATGGAAATAGCAAAAGAAAAAATATAAACTTTTATACTACAAATACACCTTTTAGTAAGACATATTTGTGTATTGAAGGTTGTCAGGAGACAACTTCTCTCTCTAGAGAGCTGCTGTCCATTGCCAGTGAACACTGCAGTGAAACCTGGACGGCAGCAAGTGATGTAAACCTTGACTCACTGTGTTTTTGAAAGGAAAATAGGGCTGCGGTGTGTATTTTGCAGAAAAAAGGACACCACACAAGGATTGCTTTCTGTTCCCAGCCCAGGAGCTGCAGAGGTCATAGGCGTGTAACTGAGGGCAGTACTTCATCCAGATACCGCAGACCAGAAACTGCTTTCCATTGAGAAACCAGGACTTTATGTTGGGCCCTCGTCAAGCTAGTGCAATGACAATTTCACGGAACAGTAAACTTCACCACAAACTTCAACTGCAGTCAGTATAGTACTTAGGAACAACATCAGTCAACGTCCAGAGTACAAGATTTTCCATTTTGCCTTATGAAATAACCAAGGCACCACACAACCCTCTTTTTGAAAGCCGGCCCACAAGAGCCAATGGCTGTAGCTGACACCCAACACACTGGAAATACCAGCTCCAAGTTCTGCCTTATAAAATGTTGCTAGTTTTACTCTAGCTTCTGTTTAAAGTTATATTCTGCCATCTTACATGTAACACAACGCACACACAGATCCACATAAATCAGTGGGGCTACCTGCCTGCTGAGGCATTTCCAAATAACCAATGATTTCCTATCGCGAGTTAAGGCACCTTGGAAAATAAGAAGGAAGGCGAATAAAACCTGAAAATGTGTACAATTCATACCACAGCAAATGCTGATCTAAAGGCTGTCTACCAGAGACCAACTTTTTTTATTATAACGTGTTTTATAATGGCATACTATCCAATACAACTGCACTAGGTGATTGATAACGAGCATTGTAAAATGTCACAGATAAATAAAGAGCTTAGTGACTGCTAATTTACCTCCATCTTGTGAGTTCATGATATTCAGAGCAAACAGCATTGCATTGGAGAACGTGGTAGCCTCTTCTTTGCTTGCAAAATTCAAGCCATAGACCTGCCGTGCATCGCGCCATTGATGAAAGGTAGGTGTTGCTTGATTGTACTTCAGTCCTTTCACAATTGAGTAATTAATCACTACCTGTGATTTGAAAGAGAGGGGTGAAGATTAAAAATAGTTCTTTTTTCAGTGGGGAAAAGAACCCAAACCCTTTCATAAAGGTTAATTAAATTGGTAGAGGCAATTCATATAGCGGCTCCTACACGGCTGTACGGTAAGGCAGTCTGCGTTTCGATGACAGAAGACCCACATCTGGGGGGGAGATTTACAACAGTTCAATTCAGCCTCAGGGACCTGCAAGCTAGTTTTGCAAAATCTATTACCTGCTTATGTTTTCTACAGCACCTCTGCAGGATACAGCTGTGCAGATACTGCAGACAGATGTCAGGAGTCAGGACCAGCAGCTGTTGCCATCTTTTGGGGGATGATCATGCACAATTGTCAGAAAAAGAGCCAGACAGAGCTCTTGGCACTAACCCTGCCCTACAGCAGATGAACGTTTGACTCATTGCACTGGCTCTGCTTTTCTCCTCCCAGGCGCCTGATCACCACCAGCTTCTTATGTCGAGAGAGTTTTTTCTCTAGAATCAGATAGGCAATGACAAAACCAGACAACCAAATATTTCCTCTCCCACCTCCTCCCTTGCTGTACGCGCTATAATTTCCAGGTAAGGGATGACTGCAGCAAAAGGCTGTTTCTGTATGTTTTGATTTAATCTGCTAAACACGGTGCCCTGTTTACCCTCGGGCAGGGCACGTGGTACACCCAGCTACACAGTACACCTGGGATCTGACCAGAAACCTCCAACGCTAAAAGTGTAAGCTGCTCTAGCTGAAGGTGGAGAGGCAGGAGTGTCTGCTACACCACTGATAAGCCCGAAGGACCCATGGCAGAGACAGCACCCCTGAGATACCCATGTGTGGACTGACAATGGCACTCTGTTGTGACGTGAACTTAAGAAACAAAATGCCAATAGAAGGGATCATAATTATTCTCATAAACAGGCACAGTGCAGTTGAAAACAGAGAAGGAGTAGGAAATGGAGGCTCCCTCTTCATCAGCCCACACAGGCTGGCGGCAGAAGGGAACCAGGGACAGAGAAACTTAAAATTATGAGCAGGGAAAGTCTGAAGTTCATTATTCAGATATAGCAAATCTGGTTTTGAATATCTGAGATTGTCTCTACAAATGGAGTTATTTTGGCTGGAGTTCCATCAAGAGCCTGAACAATCCCACAATTTCTGGTCCTCATTGAAAGCCAATCAATGGAATTCCTCCATCAAATTAGTTTGTATGGCTTATCTGCAAATTAGGCGGGCTGGACACTGGTATACAGGAGTAGGAAGAGGGACCTTGGTGCACGCTGTCTGGGATCTCACTCTTAGTGCGAGTCTTACCATCCTGGACTTGGTAAGATGGGAACAACAACTGAAGACAAGGGAACAGAGAGCCAGTAACGAATAAATGCTGTACACATACATGCTGTACACAGGTTTTCTGGTGTGTGTGATCCACCTGTGTACAGCATTTATTGTTACAGGTGGATCCCACACACCGGAAAAACCTACCAATACAACTTTTTTGCAGTCTGATTGACCAGTACTTTGGAAAATTTTCTGTTAGTACTATTATTGCATCTAAAAAACTCCAACATATATTAGATTAACAATATTTTTGCTAGATGACTGACAATTTTTCTCAAGTATAAAAGCAGAGTTTTAAAACTAATTCCAAAGATGAATGACTCGTAGCTCTGAGTTTTGACTTTTCACTGGATTGCTAATTTAAATTAGCTGAAAAACATTAGACGAGCACCTAATACATAAGGAGCAAATTGTTTTTCACACATTCCTATTTTTGAAGGATGACATTGTCTCATTGATACAGATAGTTAACAGATGTCTGATAACTATACTATATTAATACATAAAAAATTACAGAAACCAGCAAAGAAGCCACTACACCAGTAGATAATTACAGATATACTCTATTTCTATAATGCATTTACTTACCTGAGCCAGCATTAAACAGTGACATAGCAGATGATAGTCTTTGAATACTTGGTCTAGCTTTAGGCATAAATTATCCTGATGGTTATTGAACATCAGGTATCTGGTCCAACTGTTGCTCTCAAACCAATATCATTATTAAGTTTCCATGTAAATGCACTTGGCAGCAATCAGACCTACACTGCTTTTTTTGCCACATTTCACAGAGAGATTCCTGACCTGTGATCCAAAGGGAGATGCAGGGGCAGCCTACATTTGGTACACAGGCTCCCAAGAGTTGGTCCCCTGAAAATGGGAAACGCATCACCAGCATGCTGTGTGGGAAGCCACCCACACCAACCAGAACGATGTGGAAACCACGTCGCTCTGGTCACAGCAAAGCCGTGAACTCACTCTAAGCTGACAGCTTAGATGATAGCCCTTTTCTCTTGAAAAATGGTGACATCATGCCCATTCTACCACTGAGCATTGGGAGAGCCTGTACTGATGTTGCTCACACTCAAGGAGTCTCTGGAGCATCAAGTAGACTCATGCCTGGCTTACTAACCCAACAGTTTCAACATGTACCAATTTTTAAGTCTTCCAACCACTTCTGAGTAGCTTAACCAAGGGAAGGCACAGCCAGGATCTTCGAGGAAATGTTTAGAAAGATTGTAAGCTTCTACCAGGCTTTGCAAAGTGAGTATTTCTCACCTACTAAAAGAATCTTCCGTTTCAAAGGACAGCACTATTGAAGTCCAAAGAGCACCAGAGGGTGCAGTGCAGTTGTATAATGAAAGACAGAAATTGTAAAAACCTATGCCAAAAATCGTTTAATAGAAGTCAGGCAAACTGTTCAAAATTTGCTTTCCCAGAACATCAACCCAAGGAACTCGGAGAATCCGCTCTGCTCTGAGGGTTTGATCCCTTGAGTAGAATGAAGACAGAATTTGCATGTTGACCTTCAGTAATCATCAGAATGCCTACGCATGTTATACCTTGTCTTCAAACTCAAAACAGAGAGTTTAAAACTGGGAAATATAAAATAGCCAGAGTTTCATTTTATCTCCTTTGGCTAATGCTTCTAAAAAACAGAAAAAAGAGGAGGGGTTCTCCTGCTGTTGTTAAGAATGAGTGCACAAATATATCTTGTACAGATGGTGTAGAGACTCTGCAAGGCACATGATGATAAGTAAGTGCTTCAGAGCAGTAATTAAAATAAAGAAGGTCTCCCTGTTTGGAGCACAGGGGGGGTTTACAGGTGTTTCTAAGGGATCTTTACTCTAAGGCTTCATATGCCAGTAAGATAGCATCTGCCATGCTGAGCAGACCAACAGTTCATCTTTTCATCTTCAGGTGTAGTCTCTAATAGGTGAATTGGAGAAACTTACTGGAAATCTTGCAGAAAGAAGCAATGGATTTGTCCATAACAAACAGTTCTTCCTATAACCCTTCACCAAGAGCTTATCTTAAAAGCTGAAACATGACATTTTATGGGCCTACTTTTTCTTTCCCAACCCCTTTTACTATTTCCTATCCTGAAACAAAGTAGTCTTGCTGCTGATATAAATGTCTGCGTTGTTTTGAATGCTGTTAAATTATGGATTTCAATGATCTCATATGGCAAGGAGTTTCACAGACCAGTTGTGCATAGTATTAATATGTTGACACCTTTCAATGTTCCTATCACTATAATGTTAAAAAAATGATTTGCTTCACTTCTACCTGGTACTCTCCTCACCCTTTCATCTCAGTTTCAAGTGTAGGCTCTCTGAGGCAGGCAGAGAATTTTGGGATCTCTGAAAAAAGCTCAAAACCAAGAAGACCTTCCCTTTGACTGCACTCTGTAGGCTGCTGAGCTATAAATTGTCAGGAGTGATGATGGTGGTGTTTGACAGGACTCACAGGAATGGGGCTAGAAGGAATTGATGGGGCCTCAGGACCACATCTGAGGTGTAACCACAACCAAGATCATGGGAAGAGCTCCCACACAAGTCTTACCGCCCATACTCTTGCTTATCGAACCAGAACAAGACATTTGCTTGTTTCTCCAGAGTACAAATGGTTCAGAAGTTTGTTATCAGCTTGGGGTCTGCCGCGCTGCAAGCACTCAGACCCCTCTCATGGGGAGCAGTCGAATAATTGCTAAAACAGGGAGGATATGGCGTAGCAACTAAAAACTGCTACATTTCTTTATTTCTGTAAGCAGGCCCAAACCTGACCAACTTCTAATAAGTTACAGCGGTAATTAATTGGTTCTTTATTTTTCAAAAAATGTGGTTTAGTTTATATCTCAAGAATGCTGTCCCCATTTCAGTTTTGGCTTAGGCTCAAATGTAAAACGTCCCACCTTCCCCAAGGCCCTGTTTTTACATTCACTTCTTAGCCACATCAATACACCAAACCCTCAGGAGAGATGATTTACTTTTGTTCAGCTCATGCCTTTCGGTGATGAGATCATGCTGAGCTGAAATCACTTGATGCAAAATCATCATTTTAAACCCTCAGTTGAGGAGGACTCTGAACTGGGGAGCTACTGCTTGTCAGCTAAGCCATAAAGATGGACCACTTGTATGTTTTTAGCTTTGCGAACTTCTTGCATGGTGACTGAAGCTTGCACACTTCACCTTTACAACAGGCTAGGTTACAATGACAGCTGGCAAGTCACAACACAGGGGTAAACCATTTGCCTGTGACTGCTGGGCTACGAGAAAATGAAGGCTGCAAGGAAGCATCAAAGCTCCTGACATCAAGCGATTGCAATACTGATCTGGCCTTAGCTTCAAACCAGTTCTGGCCTCTGTGGCTACTTCAAAGCTTCAAAAGTCTGCTTCTGGTTTTCTGAAGATTACTGCTCATGCCAGCATGAGTCTATGCAAATGTGCACGTCTGTGCAGAGCAGAAAGGGGAATTCATGCACTGCTGGTCTGTAACTTAGCGCTGCTACTGCACGCAAGCTTGTGATGAGCACGTCACCCAGACACATAAGGAGAACAAGAGGTCGGGTGACCACTTCCCGGTGGTGAGAATGAAGCTCGAGTTCTGCCACTCTAAAAACCATATTTCTTTGCGGTGAACATTTTAGACACCGTCAGCTAGAGAAGCAGATAAACACAGATACAGTAAGCAGAATGAGAAGACAGTATCATAAACTCTAACACATGCGCCAAAAAAGGGCTGGAAAACAGAAAGGCAGCTAGACAAAGACAACAAAAGGAGCCTAGAGAAGAAGATACGTGAAGAAAAAAAGATGAAAATTAAAGAGAGAGATTATTAGAGGTGTAACATAAAACAACAAAAATTAAAAGGGAAACATTAAAGGCAGGCAAGGGTGAAGTCATGAAGATTATTCTAGTCTGCGCCTTGCCAAACAGTACATAACAAAACTTAAAATCGTTCCTCTGTGGTATTGTTGTGCTACATATTTTAAACTAGTTTCTCAACTCTTGGAAATCTGTGTAGCTTCATTAGCTTCATTATATGCCAAATCACATATTAGCTGAAGACTGGTTCTTTTCAGAAAAACATGGCTTTCCTGCCAAAGCAACAGCTTTTACTAAAACCTCACTTCAGTGTGATTTAGCACAACCTGAGAGCAAGCATGAAATGGCTTGTACAGAGAATTATTTTAACTGAAATTCATTTTTGTTCTCGTTAAATACAAATACTTAGCAAGCCTAGCAAGCTTATGATTCCGACACATATAATGAAATGGCTTGTACAGAGAATTATTTTAACTGAAATTCATTTTTGTTCTCGTTAAATACAAATACTTAGCAAGCCTAGCAAGCTTATGATTCCATGAGACACATATAAAATATATTAAATTCTGAATCTTGACACTTTCAGAATGTTTCTTTTATTAATACTACTATGCTACACTGTCTTGAATTTACTTCATTCATAATACTGGATTTTTGTAATCATATTTAAGGTGAATACTTTCTTTTAGACAGTTGTAAGTGACTAAGGTAACGTGTACTTTTTTGTTTGCTTGAGGGAGGATTTTTAGTCTTTAAACTCTAGAAAAATATATTCTTCTATCTGTTTCCTTCTGAATTGAGATGATTTTTAAATGGCATGCAGCCTCTTCGGTGGAGGAGTCCTCTGTCTGAGGACTTCCTCATAAGTAGGAACATTTGCAAGCAAATAGAATGTTACAGTTAATGCAAAACATGTTTAAAGTACAGATCAAGATTTGACTTTTTAATATATCCTACTCTTTAAATTGTATACTCTGATTAAGACAGACCTTTGGTACGTAGTCTCCCTTACATATATATGTAGACTTTATGACTTTTGCTTGTTTTACACCAGCTATTCAGACCCATCTTAGATTGTAGTCACAGGAAAATCATTTACATTCACCTGCTGGCTACATAAAATAAACAGCTAGCATGGCCTGTTACAAAGCAGTACCGGCTTTCACAACTGACTAAGAAGCCACTGTATTTAATTTATTTTCAAAAATATTTTCTATTTTTGAAATGGAACTACATTAATATATTGCCTTTGCATTACTGAGAAGGATAAAAGCAGTGGCAGAAGGTAAGGCAGATGTTTCGGAAGTGCACTGTAAGGAGCTGAAAACTGATGTGCTAAAACCCCCACCTATTTCTATTCGGCTTTTTTTTTTTCAAAACTGCGTATATGGACAGTGTAGAAAAGTCATTAACACTTCTAGTAAGCAACCTGACTAGCTTTTCCAGTTGGCCCAAGCATCATTACAGCTGACAGCTGAGGGACATCATCTGCATTTCCATGAGCAGATCGCTCAGTTTAACACTTGTGGCAGCTGACGGGTGGTGGTGCCCCGGCTCCCGCTCTCCAGTTTGGCTAGGCTAGGCTAGGCTTGGCTTGGCTTGCCCTGCCCCTGCCCATCTCGTGCCGGTGGCGGTGCTCGTCACACCTTCCCAGGAGGCAACACCGCTCTCTGAACCAACAGAAAATCAATCACCCACTTTCTTCTGATTCTTCTGCCAGGTTGAGGGCTCGAGGTGAGCGTGCCGGGTGGGCAGGCTGGGCAGGCTGGGCTGCCACCACTGTACCGGCCTCACGCCAACACACAGAGGGAGTACCTGGCTCTGAAATGTCTGCTCTAAAATGTAAATGGCAACAGCATAGAGCACCGCTACTCCCCCCCTAAGTATATTTTTGTAATTTAGGGTCTAAACATGACATTTGGTTACGGATGGCATGTACCGCCCAGCATGCCTGCGAGTCTAGTCTTGGCTTGTCTTGCCCTGCCCCTGCCCATCTCGTGCCGGTGGCGGTGCTCGTCACACCTTCCCAGGAGGCAACACCGCTCTCTGAACCAACAGAAAATCAATCACCCACTTTCTTCTGATTCTTCTGCCAGGTTGAGGGCTCGAGGTGAGCGTGCCGGGTGGGCAGGCTGGGCAGGCTGGGCTGCCACCACTGTACCGGCCTCACGCCGACACACAGAGGGAGTACCTGGCTCTGAAATGTCTGCTCTAAAATGTAAATGGCACAACAGTATAGCACCGCTACTCCCCCCTAAGTATATTTTTGTAATTTAGGGTCTAAACATGACATTTGGTTACGGATGGCATGTACCGCCCAGCATGCCTGCGAGCCAGGCTGCCAGGAGCTGGTGGCCGAGGAGGGTCTGATCCCAGTTCTGATTATCTAAATCCCATATAACTCCTTTAATACCCAAGGAGGTCCCATGGACTTAGGCTGCAGTAAATCAGATCACGGTGTGCACCTAGGATTTTAAAATGCATTATGAGGAACTAATTACTTATCACAGCAATGTAATAATCGCGCTTTGCAAGATGGCAGTGCAGAATGATTGATTTATTTTTCTTTTTTATACATAGTACTAAAAACGAGCCAAAAGTAAGTTGGGGGAGCTGAGAGCAAAACCTGCAGAATGAAATAAGACTCATTTCACAAGCAAAGATGGGGAGGGGGGGGAAATAACATTAAAATCTCTCTCGCATTTACCAAAAGTTCTGTTTGCAAATAAGCAGTAATAAATTATGATATATTCTGTGCACAAAAAATTATACAAAATCTGAATGACTGGAGTAAACAGACTCATAGGCACCTTGCAGGGAGCAGGAAATGTTGCTAGACTGCATTAAGTATAGAACTGATGGTATCAAACGAGATCAAAGGTTAATTTACAGGAAACTCAATACAGTTACTCACTTGTTGATCTTGCAGTTTAACTCCAACTACCCTGAAGGTGTTAGTGGCCGTGTTGTGGTATATGTTGATTCTGCTGAATCCCTGCTGTCCAGGTTTGATTGGCACCCATTTCTTACTGGTATCGTCATAGACCATAACTGAAGCCCGGGCTTGGCAAATACTCTGTTCACTGGAGGGCAAAACCAACAAAATCAGGAAAAAAAACAGTGAATTTGCTGCATACTACTGAAAACATCTAAAGGAAAAGAAACCAACAGAAATCATCAGAACTACTTACAACATATGTTTTATAAGGGATCTGCTAATCCTTTGAATGCAATCTGCCTGTTAAATTAAAACTGGAATGTATGTGTTCATAGACTTAAAAAAACTACAGTATGCTGCTGTTTTGAACTGATAATCTATTTTATATAAAAATATTAGGCCCTGAGGAATAACTTGTATCACACAAACATTATGAAAACTGTCCAACAGTATGAATGCTCCATTTATTTTATGTATCTATTGGCAAGTGAAGCTTTTCACATTTGCATGAAAACTTACCAATATTTTACAGCTTACTGACAAAATAAACGTGACATCCACAGCTGAGTTACACATTTAAAACTGGAAGCAAGCAGACCTTGAACCAAAAGCCACGTTAGGTAAACTGAAGAAATGAATTACGTTAATCCAGCTGACGCCTAATACCCAGACCCGCTGACGCACTTAAAAGTCTCAGAATACACAGTGCAAAACACAGAGGAACTCTTTTTTTCCTTCATGCTAGTAGCAAAGAAAGTGGAAAAGGGGAATCCACGTGTTAAGTACATAGCCATTATTTTGTATAGCATTAATAACTATTTTTCTTCTGTAGATTCACAGAAATTCATGTTCTTTACCTCTTGCTTGCATATTCGTGACTAATATACGTATACTAGATTTGTGCTAAAACACACCCTTCATGTGCAAGAAATGCCACTGGCAAATACTGTTGAGGTGACATGTCAATACGGATCAGGATTTCAACTCCTGCTCTCCTGACTTCCCAACCACTTTTCTTATACCAGAGGAAAAAAGAGTTCCTTATACGAAGAAAAAAATGAATCCTCCAAATTTTGGAGATTTGAGATCTTCAGATGTAACAGGGATTTTCAACAAGCAAATAGCGCATCTTAGGCCTAAATAAAACTGTTAGCATTTATGTCCTGCAAAAATCTTAAGTTCACGACTGTCCTATTAACTTTAGGCCTATATATATTTATATATACTTCCCTTCCTTAGCCCAAGCCATATTAAAAAATTTTTGGCAATGCAATATCAAGTGGTAATCCACTTTGCACACAAATCCCTTTTTTCCCCCTTTTGCATATAGGTCTTTGTTTTCGTTTTGCCTCAGTAATGCCTCACTTGCACACAAATACACGAGAAGCTACTGGGTGGTGCTAAACTGTGTCGCTGCACTGCCACCGTGCCAAATTACACCACTTGTAAATTATAGCAACTGCTGCAAACCCAAACCCACCCAACCCCATCACTGTCATCATTTTAATGAAAGGGAGCACATTACTGCAAGTATTAAGAGGATCTGGGTAGATTACAGCAGCAATTTTCAGTCTTTTCTGATTTGTGGGTCTCAAAAAAGATTTCCATGGCAGATGCATCCCCCATTGTACACTAAAGCCTACTGACTGGCTTGTTTTATCAGTCACTTCGCATAGCCTCCAGGTAGCCCACAGACCTCCTCCAGGCTGTGGGTAAGAGCCTGAAAACTCTTCACGTTTACAGAGGGAGCAATGACGCTGGCAGACATCTCCATAAAGAACGAGGTAAGAAAATTCAGAATAAATTGTATTTTTATTACGTAGCATGGAAACAGCTAGATTCTGTTACTGGAGCAATATATTCAGATCAGAAAGACTAAACATTATTTTATTTATATTCTCTAGAATTTATAAAATCAAGCTCATCCACGAGTTGCTGTTGCTTTGTTACACGAGATACCTGGAGAACAGCTGCACCTTTGCTGATGTACTTGCCCAGCAAATACCTCTCCATCCCTTTTTTTAAGATAAGCTAATGTCTCGTGGCAGCTTCTCCATATCTGACACTAGCAGCTGAGGGATTTGAGCTCACTCCAGCATGCCTAATCCTTCAACTGGTGCAAGAGCCGCAGACTGGCAGCAGTGGCGGCATTGCCTGCATCCTCCAGACCTGCCTGGGGATGCTCACTCTGCCTCAGACTCACAGATTGGGAGGATGGGAGAGAAATGCACCAGCAAGAAGGCAAGTACACTGGATTAGCTTTGCCATGTGGAAGTGGAATGGCTAAAAACAATCTCTGGTGCGGTCCTGTGGCTGGATGGTGCCCACCTGCCTGTGCTGCCAGGTGCCTTGTGCCACCTCCAGCTCCAGAGGTGGGGGAAGCATCAGTTGCCCGGGGCCACAGCAACCCCCTGCCCAGCGAGCCAGCAGGTGCCCAGAAAACATGGTCCCCGGGAGAGTCACACTCAGCCAGCGTGACACTGGGTCCTTCACAGGCCTTGCCAGTCACTACAAGCCCTGCTGTACTAAAGTAAGCAAGAGCACGCCGCTGGTTTCATCAGAGAAAGTCTGGGACCCAATGTTGTCTTCGTTTCAGGTGAATTTTGGAACCACAATTGCCATGGGCTCCTTAATTAGTCAAAATTAATTGAATTATCCTTAAAACAAAGAGAACACACCTAACTGTACAGACATGAGGGCCTTACCATGGCATTATTTGTAATGCCATATCCAGATTCCAATGGATACAGCAACTTTGCCTTCAGACTTCTCTGCAATTGAAAACTGCAGCAAAGAACCCCCCCTACAACCTCATGATTGAAATACGGATACAGACCCCAGGAGCAATATTTAATGCATGACAACCAATCGTTACTGTAACATAAAGCAACACATCAAGCTCAATCCCTGCTCTCCCTGCAGCCAATGGAAGTTTTTCATCATTCATTTAAATGGAAACAGGATTAAGCCTGTTATCTGGCCTCCAGTGAAATAACAGAAAGGAACATAAAACAAGTACAGCACAAGGGGAATCCTTTCCTGCAAAGCACTTCATCAATCTTTCAAAACCTAAAGTGCCCCCAGGGACCCATTGCTAGCTTGCTGTCTCACCCTAAATGGAGGTGTAACTCTTTATGCTTGAAGACTCTTTACTCGTCCTACCCACAAAAAGCACAACTCTCCCACTGCCACTTTAAGGGGCTTCCCTGAAAACAGACCAGAAAACATTCCTCTTATAAAGGTCAGTGAGTACCTCTCTATTACCCTCTGCGGAGTCCATTACTTTAAATGTAAATCAAGCAACGTTGGTTTCACGAAGCTCCAGCAAAATTTTCTGTTATTTTTGGAACCATACACCATTGATACTTATGTCAACTATGCGTAACAGGTAATAAATATGGGTTTTAGTCACACTATTGTGCAGTCACATTCCTTCTCCATGAGAAGAATCTGGCAGGTATCAGTATTTATACACAGTCATGAGTGTAGCTTCTAGAATTTGCCTTATTTTCCTAAGAATACACAAAAGTTACTGAGAAATGGGTATGTGTGGGAGAAGATTCATCAAGTTTCACATACCTTTCCAAATATTACTAATTCCCCTATTGATTTTTTATGTTACAGTAACATGCCAGTCGTCAGACTCATCCACCTGGGTTTCCACCATAGGCAATTACTTGCAAAGAAGATAAAAATTGCATCATGAAGGGGTCTTAATTACAACATTGTTCATGTTTGTGCATAACATCTACTCCAATGCGCTGCAGTATGCTCTAGGGCAGATTTGAGACATTTTATTTATATGTGGAGGGGAAAGCGTTCTTACTAGGGACCCCTTTACACCCAAATCCTAATATCCACCCCTATCCTGAAAACATTTTCTCCTCAGTGCTTTACATCTGTGGGATGGCAAACCTCTGTACCAGGACCACTTATTTGCCTGAAGTTAAAGCAAATCTGCTTAACTTCATATCTGATAGAAGCAGGCTGCACTGGGAAATCCTTTGTTCACAGCTGGTACCTAAAATCCAGCATTCATCGTTGAGATTTATAGACTATTGTTTCAATATTACAAAACTATAAATTAAAAAAAATATATATGTCTGCAGGCGATTCTGTTTGCTTCATTTTGTGTAACCCCTTTTTGACCCACTGTCTTCCATCTCTTCACAATTAGCTAATTTGGAGTTAACCCTTCTTGTAGGGGTCAACTTTGACCCTTTTTGCCCAGCCCTGGTGAGAGTGGGCAGCCAAGCACAGCGCCTGGGCTGTGTGGCATGCTTGGGCTGGCCACACAGATTTGCTGTATCCTCCTTGCTTTGCTAGCTACGGTGTCAGCAGCACTTCCAGCCCCAGATAAGTCACATCAAGCTTAAAGGTACCAGTTAAGGTACAGAGACTACTGCATTCAGGGAGAGCAGTTGGGGGTAGCAATGAGAATCATAGAATCATAGAATCATGGAATCATTAAGGTTGGAAGAGACCTCTAAGATCATCGAGTCCAACCATCAACCCAACACCACCATGCCCACTAAACCATGTTCCTAAGTGCCTCATCTACATGTCTTTTAAATACTTCCAGGGATGGGGACTCAACCACTTCCCTGGGCAGCCTCTTCCAATGTTTAACCACTCTTTCAGTAAAGAAATTTTTCCTCATGTCCCAATGAGGCTGCACTTCGAGACAGTGCTGCAATGAAGGCGGCTTCATCCAGAAATGTCTCTCCTTTTCCATCTGTGCAGAACTTGAAAAATGCAGTCCTTTCTTCCTGGCTTTTAGTAGATTTATGATTACCAGGGTCTCATAGCCAAAAAAGAGCCACAAAGGAGTATGGAAAAGATAACACAGGGAGTCTTAGGGAAAATATCTGTATTTTTTGTGAATTATCACATGAGACTTAATGGGTCTGCTTGACATCACCTGGCTGACTGCAAGTAATTAAATCGGAGGAGGAAACATAGGGGGAAATAAAATGACAGAAATTACTGTGGAGGTTGGGAGTGGGGGAGCCACGGATCAGGGAAAAGTCCTCCTGCTTCACTCTGCCTAGCCCCGTGGGTTATCCAAATATAAAAGCAAAAAGCTCAGGATGGAACCACAAAAGACCTGGCATAGAGAACAGACAGAAAAAAGGAAGTAAATTGTAATGTTTGGAGGCAAGTCTTTGGTAGAGAGGCTCTGAAGGGTCTCCAAGGCTTTTCTCTCCTGTCCCGGCCTGAGAAAAAGACGAGAGGCCAAGCTGAACTGCTCCTTCATTGACCTGTTTTCCCTACCTACAAGGTATCTGCTTATGAATAAAACTTTTGCAGAGCGTGGTACTGAGTCGCTGAGCCCACCTCTGAACAGTGACCCTGGGCAGAGCCTGCCGTGGCACAAGGTTATCCCAGCCCTGCCCCGGACCCCCCTGTCCAGCACGAGCCACCCAGAGGGAAATGGGAGAGGTTTAAAATACTTTCTCCTAGAGCCACAGCAATGTCGTACAGCTTTTGGAGGGTCACTGAATCATGCTCACAAAAGGTGTAAGAAATGATGGCAACTAACCAACTTCAGGGTTAAACACCTAATTCTGTGGGCTCTACTCCAGCATGCCAGCTGGACCAGGAGACTTCCACTATCTTTTATATTTACAGACACAACTGTTTCCTTGGGGCAGAAATTCACTTAGCATAAACTGTGAAAGCTCCCCTGATAGAAATCAAGCTATCATGCTTTGAACGTATTACAGATCTACCTTGTTTCAAGCTGCGCACAATTCTCTCACTTTCAAATGAGCTGTCTTCAGCTATTCTTAGGAAATGCAAACAGCTACTTTCACAAACATTTACCTTATTTTTAATTTCTATTTCCCATCCATTTCCCCCCCATGCACTATAAATGATTTATAATTAAAAATTATTTTGGACTGACCTAACCATCCTTATTGGTGTCAGAAATTGTTAATACTTCTTTGCCCAAGGCTTGTCCTACCGGGGAACAAACCCTCAGCACACAGAATGTGTGAGATAACTCACAAGCCATTTAACACATCTCGCTCTACTTGTCCACTGCGTCTGCCCACAGAAAGTCACAGTTGTGTGGTTAAACCTGACATGCAAGAAATAGATGCTGATGCTGATTTAAGAAGCCAACAGAATTCTCTCAATGTCAGCTTAAACAGCTAACGTAAATGCAAAATCCTGTATATGGAGACTTGTGGTCTGTATGGTACGTATCTGTGTTAACCTCAAAATTAGTAAGCTACAAGTTGTGTTCCTGCAGTATTTAAAGTGTACTGCAAACTCAAATGGACTAATTTTCTAAACATTTTAATTGGTTCCACTACAACAAATATAATAATGACTGGGATGCAGAAAAAGTATTTCAGTAGTAATCTTTATAGAAACAGGTGGACATTTCTCTCAGACAACTGGATTTACAGAACAAAAAACCTGGGAGACCCTCTGAACACAAGTCAGTCAGGTCATCTGGGCTCATATAGACCATCTGAGATCTGAGCTCATGACAGATAAAACTTGCTGTAGTGCAGTGGCTCTCCAGCTTTCCCACCAGAGATTCACCACCAGCTTTGCTCATGACCCTATTTCTCCAATACAGCATCAGTCATGCTTGTGACTCCTTCTGGGACCTCCTTTTTCAAAGTCTACTGTCCTCTGCAACCAAACTCACAGGACAGTCGGTGTCACCATCGTTCACCATACCTCTGTCCCAGAGCACTGAAGAACTTATTTCCTCAGCAAGGCAGCAAAACCTCACAGTGAAAGAACAGCATTTAGCCGTTCCACTAAAGGACACTGGAAACCCAAAGGGACTTTACATCCAGATAGGAACTTTTAATCCTCAGTGACATGCAGACACCTGAATGTTTTCTAGCAGACATTTAGAAAAATAGCAGCTGTCACAGTTTCATATATAATACGGAGGTGCCACAATGACTATGTCCATTTGCTTTTCTGAGTCCTACTTCCTGGGACCCCTTGAAAAACCAACCCATGGACCCAGTGGTCAGAAGTCCTCAATTTGCACTCACTCCTGCTTGCCTGCCTGTGCAGAGAGACCTCCACGACAGTGCTGCCCTTGCCCCAGTCAGCCTGAAGTGAAACCCAGTTCCCAGGGGAGCTGCTCTTTTTTGGTCTCCTGCTCAGCTTGCATGTACACATGTAAGATCCGCCTTTGGTGCTGGGCTTTGGCTGCATTGCCGGTAGGAGATGAGCCTTTTGCACCGAGCATCTGCTGCAGGTGCCTGGCCGTCATCTTTCTCCACTGTTAAACTCCAGCATCTAAACAGTTTAATATTAAATAACTACAAGAAAATAGTACAAATACAAAGCCTCCTTCATAAGCAGCTCTCAAAAAGACTGACGCTGTTAAATAAAGTCATGACACACCTGCAAGATAAATACATATTTTACAGAGCAGGAAATGGAAATACTGGTACCTACAGCGTTAACAAGAATAAGATGAACACCAGTTCACCTCCACAAGAAAGAGTATTTAAGAGTTACTCTTCTTTCTGCTAGCAATGAGGCATTAATTTTGAATTCTCCCTTATTACATTGGCATACCCAGTGGGAATTGCCATGTCCAATACCTGCTGCAGACATCCATTGCAGACACTTCAGCTGGAAACCAAAAAAGAAACAGTTTATGAGGCACCCAGATCTCACACTAAGCCAGGACTTTGGGAGATGAGTTGATAAATCCGGGAACATGCACACAATCCTGGCATGACCAGAGAAACTTGCATAACCTTCTGTCACCCCTCAGTGCTCTTGAGCACAGGACAAGTGAGTAGAAATAATAAAAAAAAAAAAGTATGCAAAACAATAATGCAGTGGAAGAGATGTGCCACCTGGGCCTGACTGCCAGTCCAGAGCAGCTCAGTCCTCAGCACCGCCAGTGAAAGTCCGCGGAGAGCCCTGACCTCTCGGTGTCTGCCGCAGCACTTAAATAGCACATCTGCCAATCAGTGGAGATTTAGGGCCAGCGGAGTGGCCGCAGATTGATGCCCTTGTAAGCCGGCACATCTGCTTAGTTTATGTTGCTGAGATTTTGAAACTACGTGGAGGAGTTAATTTTAACCCATCACTTTTCTGGTAGGTTTTGCAAACTGAAGCGTAAGAATCTAAATGATTCTAAGGGGAACTGCAGTCATCAGTATCTCAACTCAACATCTTAAAAAAATGCTTTAAGAGAACTGCTTTGCAAAAGACACTTCATAGTGGAAGCGTAGTGATTCAGAGAAGTGCCATTGCTGCCAGGCAGCCAGACTCCCAGAGCCATGCCGCGCTCCAGGAAACTTTCCCTTCAGCTTCCACCTGCTCCAACAAGGTCAGGTCACTGCTGTCTCCTAATGGAGAAACAGCATTGCTCTGTTAATGTTTTAATTCACGCAACATTTCTTTCTGCAGTGAAGTGTGGTTCACTTTCAGATTTTGCATACCACCTTGAAGATATACTTTGGGAGTTCCTACAAGTAAATATCAAGTAAGTGTTTAGAAGTTCCCAAAAATAAATCAGGTAAATGGCCTGGGGAAACACTATGAACCCAATTAGTCAAAAACAGTAAAAAAGCAACTTGACTAGATCAGGTTGCTATTAATATAAACTATTTCCCTTCACCCTTAAATTGCAGAAATAAAAACAAGAAGTAACTAATCTTGTAAAATACACATTATGCAAACCCCAAAACTGAACTGTCAAGTGAAAATACATGACTGAGGGCTCTCACTCATGGGCCAGCCATATCCATATTTCAGGAGAACAATACCTTAAACAAAGGCTTTGAAAGATCATAATCGTAACTAATAATCAGGAGAGGCAGATTCCTAAGTGAATACAGGAAATCAACATAAAGGTCTTTCATTAAAGCTGGCGTTGCTTTGCCTTGGTTTCCCTTCAGTCAAGAAATGCAAATAAACCTGTGACAATTCCCCTGGAGCTGATGGAGGCAGACCAGGAATGAAGGAGGCTCACTCCGTCAAGTCAGCCTCTCCCTCACTGCCAGGGGATGCATATTAATGTAGCATTGCCATAAAAGCTTAATTACCATTTTATAATTATAAATTATCCTATGAGGCTATAACCAAAATGCAGACCTTCTGCATTTATGACAATACACACTCTCCTTCCCACCCAGTCACATTAACCCTGGTCAACAAACTCCCTGCCATCCTGCACAGTCCCCAGATACTTACGTGCCTGCCATCAAGGAAGACCTGGTCAGATAATCCCGCAGGAGTATACGCTCAAGTCCGGCACGTGTGCTTAAACCCAAATAGGCTATTTCACCTGATGACTGAGCAGAAGACAAATTTGGCAGGGAGACAAGCCAGGAGTCTCTATGAAGACTTATAACCAAAACAGGAAAGGGAAGCGCTATCAAGAGAGCAGAGGGCAGGAAGTAACACTTGTATGGCAGGGGCGGGGAGGGACTTTAAAGAAGAAATGTATTCTTTCTTTCAGCTGATTTACTGAACGAAAGTCCAAACAATATAGATTAAGATTAGATGCGCCACCTTTGCCTCATTGGTGGCATGGATATTAAAAACATTTCGCTTATTTTCTCAAGGTACAGCTTCACCATCCAAGAAAAAGAAAAAGCAAACAAACCTCAGACCCAGAAAAAATTGCTATTATTCATTTACGGCATAGGCGTTTGCACGGTGCAGAACCAAACCCTGGGGCCCCATCGGTACCAAGTGCCCCCGTCCTGCCTTGCCACCAGCCTAGCATTGCCTGCCGGTTGGCTGGGGGCCAGCTCCAGCTGGCACGGCACAACGCCCAGGCTACTGCACGCTGACTCCCAGATACCATGGCAATACAGTTTTTGGGTGGGAGCTGCCTTACACCTGGCTAACTCAGGGTCCAGCCAGACCAAAAGCTTTTTTTTGGTCCATCTCCAACCCCGTTGTCCTACTTGGGGCATCACCATAAATACATAAACTAAGAAACACATCTTCATGAAAGGAGGTAAGCGATCAAGTAGCTTATAGAAGGACATGGGAGAATTCTCCAACATTTAAAAAACAAGACAAAATTTGCTTCATGGGGTATGTAAGTAGTGCATGCCCTCCCTCCATCACCAGCAGCTGGGAGAGCCCCTGTTTGGCTCAGCAGCGGGCTGAGCCAGGTAGCAGCCCTCAGCCAGCTGGTACCTGGCGACAGCAAAGATGAGACTTCATCACCTCTCCCCTGCCTGCCCCGCGCTAAGCCTCCCACAAATGGCATGACTTGGAGTAACCACTGCAGAGATCACAGCCATAAGCTGGAGGATACCTTATCTCACAGCTTCTGCTGTAGAAAACGTGCCATCCGCTATTGCCTTTCAAATAGTTAGTTCTATGTACCGTCTATTTTTTAATTAGCGTGCCTTGCAAAACTAAGCCTCCTTGACCATGCTGTGCCTGCAGGAGACCCCTGAAAGACTACAAGCCTTCATTTCCATCCTGCCATGAGCTGCCTACGTATGTGTTTGCACGCATCCATGTTCCCATTAACAGGGAGGTTGGTTTTTCCCTGCAGTAACGCTTCCACCTCCCTTGCTATCTCTGCAGGCTCTCATTTGCCTGCTCTGCCGCTCTGTTAACTGGGCGTTGCCATTTGGCTATGGCAGCAAGACGGCCTATTAACACAAATTAAAACTTTGCAAATTTAGGAATAATAATTAAAAATATTGTAGCAAAAAGAGTGGAGGTCTTGGAGAGCAGAACAGCAAATTAATACTTTAGTGCTACCTCACCCGGGGTAAAACTGCAGTGGTTTTGATGGGCTGCCTCTCAGAGGTAGCAGGCCCCTGTGACAGATCATCCTCCTTTTCTCCCCATTCCTTGGTTTGGCAAACTTGTACATATGGATGTAAACACCCTGCAAACACTGTCTAGCCTTCCCAGCTTCACCTCAGGGTATGGCTGCATTATGGCATGAGGAGATTAACGGCAGAGGGAGAACCAATGCCAGGAAAACACGACAGGGAGAACTGGATGGACCCTGCCGTGGTCTGGCTGCAAGTAGAGAAAGCTGGGGTTTTCTTCCTGTTTTCACATGAAATTATCTTTGGGGTTTTTTTTGTCAGTGTGCTCACAAGTTCTCTTAACATGTCTAAATACGTCACCTGTTATCTGTGATTACACAAACATGGACAGTGCAAATACAAAATGCAAACAACTGCAGAATAAACCCACGGTATGTTCAGAGATCCCAACTGCCTCGCCGTACCTCTGGCCATCACAAGCTCTCCCTGCCTGACAACTTACATCCTTCACCTTAATAGCACTTTTTGACACACATTGCTTCTCCCATGGCATTACTTGAGCCACCCCACGATGTGATCCTAGGAAAGTAGTGCAGAATCAGCGTGGGGAAGGGGATAGGAAGGTTCGCACCCACTTGTGTGTCACCGCAGCATTTTGCTGAGCCACTTTGTGCCCACCTGGGCATTACAAAAACCAGGAATGGACGCATTACCTAATCTGAACCCAGTTCCCTAAAATGCAATGCAGATGAACTACCTCCCTCCTGTAAACCATTGCACAAAACCTTATCTTTCTCACCTACTTTGATCCCTTTCACCCATCTGCCCAAACTCAACCTGGAGCAGCGGTGGCACCCAGGTAACCTCCCGAAGCATCCCACAAATGGCAGAGCTGCTCAGCTCTTGAAGACCTGCTGGAAACACAGCAGGGACCCGTGATTTTATCACAGAGGCAGCATGTAGCATCCCATGTACATGGGCTTTCTCTGGGAGTCAGCACCGGAGGCTCTGAAGTCTCCACTAATGAGAGCAAAACCTGCAGAGACCTGAGGAGACCAGACCTCAGGAAATCACACAATCTCTCACGTCCTTGCAGTGATTTCAGAATGCAACATACATGTGAATAACCTTAGATTCCTGTTTAATATAGCAAGAAGAGAGGAGTGTAAGAGATAGGCTGAATTTGGCAAGGCACACCAGCTACACAAACACTTCAGTGCGGTTTCTGTTGGGGAGCAAGGGCTACAAACGCCACTTTACCTGAGCAGAGGAGCAGAGTGCTTTTCACGTTCACTGTTTTTCCTGTTACAAAAGGTTGCTTTCATGGTCCAACTGAAAGACCTGCAGCAACTATTGGTGAAATGGCACCTAGTAAAAACATGGGTGTCAAAATGTGGTCGCTCTCACGGTTGCTAGTGCATCACCCGTTCAGCTGCAGCTTCCGATTCCTCTGCAGTAAATCTCTGTATGACTGAAGGGTTTCAGTATTCAACTGATGGGGGAATTTTAAAACCCAACAAGAAATAAAGTTCTCACTGACATTTAAGCAAAGCTTTTTCTATTGTGTTTTTTTCTAATGTCTTTTTTCTCTGTTTAATGAAACATTTTATTACCACTTTTCTGGGATTTCAATTTGGCTGCATTTTCCTGATACTACACCTTTCTGCTTTGAGATCTGGGTGGATTTTGGGCACTACCTTGTTTCATTCAAAAAATCCTGCTTTTCATGAATTTAAAACTTGACTTTATTTGGAGTCAAGTGGCAGTTCCTCTGTATAGCTCATACACTGCTTAGACTATTATTGTAGCGTTTGTCCATGTAAACAGTACTTTACTGCATATTTTAGAAAAGAAGGACATAACCTGAAAAAGGCATCTCCAAATAACTACGGGCTCAAATCACTAATTGCCCAGCTCAGCCACACTGGCTCCACTGTTCTAGGCAGAGGGATACAGGAAGATGGACTAAAGAAAGCTCTGAGCAGCCTCTTTATTTCTGTTTTCATGTGTCTGGGATAGACACAGTCACTGATTTTGGGGGAAGAAGACAGCACTCAGTTGTCAGAATAGTTTCCTGCTAGACCAAGCAGATATGATTCTCCTTACACACAAATATCAGCTACAATAATATCAGCTAGAATAATCTGGGTTTAAAGATTTGGTTCTCCTGGACACAAAGACCTTCGAGCACACCTGAAAACTCCTAGCCTCCCCTCAACTCCTGCTAGCACCGTGCATGCCCAAAGCACAGCAAAGAGCAGGTCACTACTGACACATCCAATGTCACACTGGGAAACAGTGACAGTGAGTGGGACAAAGCCCAGTGCTGCCTCTCAGTGCTCCTGTCATAAACCAAATTAATTTCATTAAACACTACAGCGTACATTCCAGCAGAAGTGCCTCTAATCACCCCTTTGCATTGCTAAAATGCCTCCGTGGCCCTGGACTAGAAAGGGAGCACTTAGAAGGAAACAGGACTCTGGCACAAATGGCAAATAAGACCCAGTAGCTGATTTCTAGCGGGTTCTCACAAAGGACCGTATGCTGGATAAACAGATTATTTCAGTCATGTGTTGAGATCTGTGTGAGAAGATCGGGATTCCTGAACACAGAAGCCAGGCTTTAGTTGCAATTATGTGAATATTCCCCTAGGTTTCTGAGCAGCACGTCTGCTGGCCACGTACTAGGCTTTCATGTTCCAAAGACGTCCAAGTAATGTATTCACTTTCTTTTGGAGAGTTTCATTACCAGATGAAACATGATTTGTATGAGACAATAATGTTCTATATTTTCAATCCTTAGAGCTACAGACTGAACCCAGAAAGGTGACTCAGCCTTGAAATGACTCATCTCCAAATACAAAACCCAATTAATTTTTAAGAATGAAATGAAGATGCACTGTAGAATGTGTTGTGTATACTCTAAAAAGACTATTACAATCATAATACAAAAACAAAACTGTAACCATCTAAGAGCTATTTGAAGGCAGACATGATTAAAACATTTTTTCTTAATAAGCATATATTTCACACCTTTCAAATAACTTTTTATGCATGTGTATCTGTTGTTTTTAATTCAGTGTAACTCCAAAAAGGCATCTTATTATACTGCACAAAATTCAAAATTTGCATACAGCAATGTCTTTCATTTAATGACCTCATGATTAAGAAAACTGAAAGTTCACACTGAAACTGTACACTCAAATTTCATAAACTACAAGAACATTGGATGAATATATGCACAAATGCTACATAACAGCATATAAAACATGCAGTTATATATTCAGATTCGCAAAACTAATTTCACAGCTGTTAATAGTCTTTGAATGTAAGACATTTCCTCATACACTGAGATTTGCAACTGCTAAACATGCTGATGAGACAAAAAAAATTCCTTGTCCTCAGAAAATTTAACCCTGTATGGTAATATATGCTATTGCTCTCTCAAATCTTTTTTTCATGCTCTTCACTCA